AAAAAAAAAAAAAAAAAAAGACCAATCTCACCTGTCTAACAAGGACTTGTGGAACCTCCAAAAACAAGTCCCTTAGACACCTGTGGTAGTTAAATTTGTATGTCAACTTGGTTGAGTCTGGTTGAGTGGCTGGGCAGCTAGTAGTTATTCCCCATGATAAGACTGGCAATCAACTCCATGGTGGGATCTACCACAAGCAGCTAAGCAGCTACCTTTGGACTGCAGTCTGCTTCCTGTATATAAGGAGAAGCCTTGGGAATAGTTTCTAGCTTTTGGCACACTTGAATCCTGTATGTAGCCGAGTCGTTGTTCAGCAGCCTGCCATATTCTGCTGATCTTGGGACTTTCAATGGACTTGAATCCATGGCCTGCTCTGTGGTTTGGTAACATCGGGACTGTGCCTTTTTACTTGTCAACCTTGGGCTTGTCAGCCTCAGCAGCCAGCAGCTGAGTGAAGAAAAGCCTCCAGCTTCAGTGGGCCAGGAGCAGGAGGCTGAGCTGCAACCCAAGGTTGAGGGGCTTTCAACCAGCCCCTAGAGCCTGGCACTTTTAACTTGGTCTTAAAGCCTCCAAATTGTAAGAATAAACTTGTTTGTTCAAGCCATCCCATTTGTGGTATATTCTTGTCAGAGCGGCACTAGGTAACCAGAACAACACCTTTCAGGCCTGGAACTGAACTCACCCTCATAGTTCAGTGTTCTGGCAAATGATAGACAATACTACAAAGTGAACAGTAACACCAGTGAGGTACACACTCCTTGGAACAATCAACCATACAAGATCAAAAGGGCAGCATCTGCCCAGGGATAAAAGTCAGCAGGCAGGAAGGGATAGGAAAAAAGGATGAATGGAAATGGTAAACTCAGGGAGAAAGTGGGAAGAATGTTTTTACCTTGTGGGGGTTGCAATCAATGTCACAAAATAAAATGTGTATGAATTGTTGAATGAAAAACCAACTTTTTTTAAAGTTTCTCCAAGTCACAGCAAAAAAAAAAAATTAATAAATAAATACACCAAAACCCCATACCCATTGCCATCAAGTTGATTCCAATTCATAGCAACTCCCATTGTTTTTCCAAGGCCATAAATCTTTATGGAAGTAGATTGCCTCATTTTCCTCCCACAGAGCAGCTGGTGGATTTGAACCCCTGACCTTCAGGTTAGCAGCTAAATGCCCTACCCACTATAACATCAGAGGTCCTTAATAAATAAATAAATAAATAAACAAAAATTAAAAATGTTCTTAGGGAATGTCTGATAATGAAAGTGAAGTCATTTTCCTCTAGGCAGTGTTTTTGTTTGTTCCATGCACTCTTGGGGACGCCAGCAGTCCTGAATTACTTTAAGTTAAGGCTTCACATTTTTTTGGTCCACCCATATGATAGTTGTTGTTATGTGCCATCGAGTCGGATCGACTCATAGCGACCCCTCCTTGGGTTTCTGAGGCAGTATCACTACGGAAGTAGATTGCTTCGTCTTCCTTCTGAGCAGTGGCCAGCCTTCTGGTTAGCAGTCAAGAGCCTTAGGCACTAAGCTACCAGAGCTCCTACCCATATGATAAGGACTGCTTTATTTCTTTTCACCTTTATTCCTTGGGTGCAGTTCTTGGAGGCTCTCATCAGAAAATGTCAGTTTATCAAGATCTGTGCCATTGACATGCTCTGATTAGCAGCAATAATAATAATAATAATAATAATAATAATAATAATAATAAAATCAGTTTTCCTCACCCCAAAACAAAAATTACTCACTTCTTAAGTTCCTGGTTTCTTCCATATCGTGTTCATTACAGCTTTCTATCTCTTTAGTTGTCTGAAACTTCATAGATGGCTCTTTTTACATTTCCCCAGCCATTTTAGTTGTCTTTATTAAAGGAGTTCCGCAAACGACTTATCTCTCATTAAGAGAAGCGGAAGCCTTATTCGTTCCACTTGCTGTAACCAATCTGAAGATTTTAATTCCAATGTTTATATCTTTTATTTCCAGAAACTAGATTTGGTTTTTAAATTTCATGTGTCTCATTTGTGTTTTCTATCCCCTCTTTCACTTCATTAACATGACGCAAACACACTAAATTTCCAGGAGCTCTGGTGACATAGCACCTACGGTATTTGACGGCTAACCAGAAGTCTGGCGATTCAAACCCACCAGCCACTCCTTGGAAGGAAGACTGGGCAATCTACTTCCATAGAGATACCACCTCAGAAACCCAAGGAGGGGTTGCTATGAGTTGGAACCAACTTGATGGCAGTGAAGTTTTTTTTTGTTGTTGTTGTTGTTGTTGTTTGGTTTAAATAAATTTCCAATAATTCTGAGGGTCTAATTTTGTGGTTTTTATTTTTTCTAACTGGACCTTGTGAACCCAGCCTCCAAGACCCTGAGACCAGAACTAGATGGTGCCCATCTACTACTGCTGACCACTCTGAAAGTGATCAAAACAGGAGGTCCTGGAGAGAGTTCCTTTTGACCCCTGATTACAAAATCCCCTTCACTGAAACTATATCCAGCAGGTTGTTCTGGAGCCTGTGTTCAGGGTGTGTTTTTCCAGAAAAGATTTTTCCAGGCATCTGTGAGCTTTGCTACCCTGGGACTACTTGCAATTCAATTCTTGGCTTCTGGCTTTTGGATTTTGAACTCAGAACCTTTGAAAGTTGGTTTATTGTTAAAAATCTCAGAAGAGGATGTTATTTTCAGTTTTTCCTTCTCTTTCAAGCTGAGCATGAGATAGAAAAATTTTCTTACTGAGAAGAGAGAGCTATGGATAGTTCTTGAACCACCTTTCCTCCTAATTTTTGGAAGCAGAGAAGTTAGCTCAGCCAACAACTTTTGAGCTGGTTCAATGAAGAATAGGTTGTAGTAGGTTATATGCTTGCTAACAGGTACCAAGTTCCAGTGTGCTGAAGTACCCCCTTTTTCTGACCATGGTAATTCCATAATTATTGTGAAGTTTCCTGCCTTTCTGATATATAACTATGTAGGGTGTGATGGTGGTGTGTTCTTCTCAATGGGAAATTTGCCATGGTACGTACATGCAGACCATCTTTCCTGGTCCAAGCTGTTGGATAAGGAGTATTCGGAGGAAATGCTTGCATGCTGCTACTCAGCTTACGGTTTTTCTCCAAACAAAACAAGTTAGTCTATGAACCACAAGGTGTTTGTGGTATGAGGGTGTATTTTTTGTGAATCCAGTTTTACACCTGCATTTTCATTCTGACTGTTCCTTTTTGAGTAGTTGTAAGACATTATATCTTATCCTCTCTTTGTCCATTTCAACTGATGATATAGATAACTCATGATTGGCAATTTACTACAGCAGCCAGTGGCTTCAATGGTCATTTGCATCACTGGAATCCGGCATTGTTTTCCTTTTTAATCTCTGGAAATTTCTGTCTTTTTTCCCCCCCAAGATCAGGCACGTATTTAAAAGCTAAAATTTGATAAGGAATTTTAAATGCTCTTAACAGAGGATTTCAGGTTATTATGTCCATGACCTCAGAAGGAAGATGGGGCAATCTTCTTCCGTAGTGATGCCCAAGGAGGGGTCACTATGAGACGGGTCTGACTTGATGGCACGTAACAACAAACAACAACATGTCCATGACACCTGTAGAAATAGTCAGGCTTTCATAGAAATGATTCTTTTGGTCATTCTTTAACACTATTTGCTCCTTATCCCTCATCTTCTTTCCTAACCAAACTATATCTTGTTACTTATATTTCTTCTCACCCAGTCATATATGGTTTTGGTCAAGTTGTGCATTCATTATTACAAAGCACAGAGTCCACTTCCATTCCAATGGCTAAAGAGTTCCCAGTACAACTAATTGTCATATTATGAGAAAGAAATTGTATTATCTGTAGATTTGGAGAGATGCTTGATTTGACTAAGTTTATTTTCAGATTACACAGTAACTTGTCTCCTGCTGATGCCTCCTTTGCATATTTTTCATACATACATACATGTGTGTGTGTGTGTGTATATATATATATATATATAGAGAGAGAGAGAGAGAGAGAGAGAGAGCTCTGGTGGCATAGTGCTTAAGGCATTTGACTGCTAACCAGAAGGCTTGTGGTTCAAATCCACCAGCCACTCCTTGGAAGGAAGGTTGGGCAATCTACTTCCATAGTGATACTGCCTCGGAAACCCAGTCGGATCTGACTCCATGGCAGTGAGTTTTGTTTTTGGTTTATATAGCTATATATGTATATATATTTATAAACTTCTTTCTCTGTACAATTAATATTGGAAAAATAGCTTCCCATGTCTGGGTGTTCCTTACCTCACTAATGATTATTCCAGTCAGAGTAGAAGAAATTAGTCCTCCTATCATTCCACAAAATATTGTAAGTCCTTGAAGAAATCCGTAATATCTATGCAAAAAGAAAGAACAGCAGTACACAGACGTAAAGTAATACAAATACTGCAAAAAGTCCAACCTAATCCAGTCAGATTTAAGAGAGATAACTGTTGATTTTGTGAAATTTACTTCTTCTGCATCTCATATTCCATTAAAATGTCAAGAAAAATATATAAATGTAAGCAAATTTCTTATACTACTGAATCAGAAAGGTTGGACTAGCAATAACAAATATGAAGATACTGCAAAAATAGGAACTTATTTAGAGTGAAGCTTGGCAGAGTTAGAAATCTTGAAAACACAATTGAGAAATTTAGAGCGCAGTGTCTGCTGATAATATGAATTGGTTTGGAGTTCAAAAAAATTGAAGGGCTCTCTTCACCTAGTTTAGTCCCATAATTCCAGAGCTATTGGCCTCAAAGATTGCTTCCAAAACTCATGCAAGGAAACCAGAAGATTTGTTTATAAACAATTATGATTGATCAATACTAGGCGCCCAAAGAAATCTCAGCAGGAAGTGAGACACTAAAGCAAGGAAGCCACAGGGAATAATGGATAAAGAAGAAGTCAAATTCATTAGCCATGAAGAACAAGGAAATGACTTTTAGAAAGCAGAACCAGGATCTAATCTAGAAATTATACTCCAGGATAGGGAGTCTTTTCTACCCAGATTTTGTCATTAAAGGCTCTATATTTTCAGTTCTTCATTTTTATGGTGGTGGTGGTGTTGTTATGTGCCGTCGAGTCTAACTAATCACAGTGATCCCTCCTTGGGTTTCCGAAGCGATATCACTATGGAAGTAGATTACCAAACTTCCTTCCGAGGAGTGGCTGGTGGGTTTGAACCGCCAGCCTTCTGGTTAGCAGTCAAATGCCTTAGGCACTATGCTACCAGAGCTCCCAGCTCCCTAATTAGGAACCTATGAATTAACAAACTGGTTATACACTCCACCCCTATTCAACATAGGTGCTCTGGTGGCATAGTGCCTAAGGCACTTGACTGCTAACCAGAAGGCTGGCAGTTCAAACCCACCAGCCACTCCTAGGAAGGAAGTTTGGCAATCTACTTCTATAGTGATACCACTTCGGAAACCCAAGAAGGGATCACTATGAGTTGGATCCGACTCGACAGGCAGTGCCTGCCTGCCTGCCAGCCTGCCAGTTGGGGAGGAATTATATTTGGACCTAGAATCCCTGTACGTTGGGATGTATGCAGACAAGGGGTGGCCTTTAAACTTGTTTCTTTTGAAGCAAGAGAGCATTTTCTAGTGTAAAGAAGAACACTTATAGTTAGTGAGTAGGTAGGTGAAGATTGTGGCAAAAACCATTAACCTTATCTATTCCTCTCTTCTTCAGTTTAGCAATAGAACCCCTGGGTTTTAATTGAGATTCAGGGCCATTTAGGACTCTCATGATCCTTTGTCACTTTTGCCTCTGTGAGCCTCTTCTTTTATAAAAGATATTAAATGGATGCGTAATACTATATATAAATTAAGTTAGGAAAAAGTAAAATTAATAAATAAAACTAGGTAAAATTTAAAAAAAGACAATTTCAGGCTAGTCATACAAGAAAGAAATCACAAACGAAAAATGTTTGAATCAAAGAGTATGTATAAAAACAAAAAACAAACAGAAGGCTTTTCAAGGTAAATTATAATAACAATAATAATAATAAAACTACACTCACTGCCATCAAGTTGATTCCAACTCATAGTGACCCCCTTTGGGTTTCCAAGGCAGTAAATCTTTACAGAAGTAGATTAGTCAGTCTTCCCTCTGAGAAGTAGTTGGTGGGTTTGAACCTCCAACTGTCTGGTTAGCAGTCAAATGCCTTAGGCATGATGCCACCAGAGCTCCTTAATAACAATAATAAATGTCTTAAAGTATCTTTATTTTGTTTTTATTTTCTAAGGATGTTTTCACTGTGCATAAAGTTCTAGATAGGCAGTTATTTATCTTTCAGCACTTCATAGAGCTCATTTTATGTTTCTTTTGAAAAGTCAGGAGTCAAGCTTACTGTTGCTACTAAACAGTAACATATCTTTTCTCCTATAGTTGATTTTAAGATTCTTATCCTTTGCTTTGGTTTTCAGCATTTGTTAACATGTATTTTTAAATTTATATTCTACCATGGTTGAGATTTACAGGGTTTTGCAGCTATTTTCTTATGAGTTTTGCTCTACTTTCTTTCTGGGACTCCATTTCTTTTATTTTCTTTTTTACTTATTTTCCATTCTTTTTTCTTTCTATAATTCCATTTGGGTATTTCCTTATGATGTGTTTTTTAGTTTACCAATCCTGTCTTCTTCCCATTTATTCTATGTTCCTTTTTAGGTTCATGCTTGACTTCTTTTGTGTTGTTTTTTTAATAGCATCCGCTCTACACTTTTACTATTCTTCAATAGTTACTCTAGAAACTAAATGATATATCCTTGTCTTATTTAAATGTAATATACAAAATAAAGCTTTTACTAATTCCCATTAGTGGAAGTATCTTAAAACACATTCATTTATACTCTTTCGTGTGTTGTGCCATTATTGTAACATATTTTAATTTACATCTATTTTATAGCCCATAAGCCTATTGATGTATTTGTTTTATAAATTCAGTAATTATTAGATTTACTGTAGTCTTTTTGCTATTTCTTTTCATTTTTCCCCATATATCTGTTTCATCTGTGATTATTTTACTTCTGCCTGATAAATTCTCTTTCAGTGATTTTGGCATTAGAGATCTGTTGTTGAGAAAGTCTGCAATTTGACTGAAAATGCTTTAATTTTACCTAATTCTTAAAGGGTATTTTTGCTATGTATAAATTTTCAGTTAATTGTTATTTTCTTTTTTGCATTTTAGAATATCAATTGATTTCTCAATTTTGTTGTTTCTGTTGAGAAGGCAACAGTCAGTCTTATTGTTAAAGTAATGTGCCTTTTCTATGAGACTATTTTAAAGATATCCTCTCTCTTTCTCTCCCTCACATTCCTTTTGTTAGCACTTGTACTGTGAAAGGCCTATATGTGCTTTCTTAATATTTGCCTTGTTATTTATTCTTACTGATGACATCTCTAATAATTACATTCTGTTCCAGACTATGGCTGTGGAAAGGGATTTAACTATTTTTACAGAAAGAGGTGCTTTCATTCCATGTAAAGAGAATCCCCAGTGTCAAGAATTCTGGGTACCATGACAAGTCCTCTGAAAACTATTACATATCCTCGGGGTGGAGCAACTCACTGCGCTTAGGGTAGCAAAGCCAGGGCGTTTGTATCCTACCCCTTGCGTTGCCTAGGGTTCCAGACAGTGAATACTTGATATGGAGAAATGGAAACCACCTTAAATTTATGTTAATGCAGAACCATTTTCTGAACAACATTAAGCTCTACAATTGCTTGTTTTTTCAGCTGCAACAGCCTATGGTGAAATACAAATTTTGCAAGTGGAAACATCCACTGAAGTAGACTTTAAATTGTATTGGTTTTATGTTTTGATATGATTTAGAAAACCTGAATTAAATTCAGAATTCTGAACTATGGTTCCATCCCACATGAAGGGAAATTCAAGGGTGCAAAATCTATTCATCAGTCAAAAATAATTAAAAGCACTTAAAATCTTCACTGGGGACTCCTTTTAAGGATGTCAAGGAAATGACAATGCTTTTTAATGCATCACAGAGCATCTTAAAAGTCCCTCATGCAATTCCAGGTACAATCCTTTGCCCAACTCTCCAGTTCTAGCAAAAACCAAGTTCTTTTCAGAGATTAATTTAGAAATGTGTCTACTAAGGAGTAAAGACATATTTCTCTTTAATAGGCAATGGAGGTACATAATTAGAAATATTCTTATTTAAATAAGAATTTTTTGTGTTGTTTTACTTTTTAAAAAAAATACGAATTCATATGGTTGAGGTATAACACATATATGTCCTAACGACTGAGGATAAACTAACTTAAGAAACAAAGAATTTTTTCCAAATTGTATACTAGTATATTTATTGGCTCTGACTCTAGAAAATTATCTAGCTAACATAAGATTTTGGCCCTTGGAATGATGTAGCTCAGGCCAAGTCAAATGTAAACAAGCCACTATCGGCTGAGATATTTCACATCCTACTCACCAGGCACTGGCAGATAACACTGGTGAGGAAATGACTTTGGAGGCAGACATAACTAAGTATGAATCCTTATTCTACTTATTACTAACTTTGTGACTTTAACTGTGAGACTTAGTCTCAGCTACTTTGGTCATATTTTTAGAAGAGACTGATTCCTGGAGAAGGATAACATGCTTAGTAAAGTGGAGGGTCAGCAAAAATGGGGAAGACCCTCAATGAGATGGACTGACACAGTGGCTGCAATGATGGGCTCCAGCATGGCAGGATTATGGGGATGGTGCAGGACCAGGTGCCACTGAGTATATTCATTCTGTTGTATATAGGGTCACTATGAGTCAGAGTCAACTCGACAGCCCCTAACAAAGACAACAACATGTGACTTTATATAAGTTAATTTCCTTGGCCCTGTGTTTCCTCACCTACACTATATGGATAATATTATTTCACAGTGGGGCATGCCAGGCACAGAAAAAATATCCAGTAAATGATAGTTATTTACAATTTCCTTTATCTGTGTATACATTCTTAGGTCCCTGGGTAACACAAATGGTTTGCGATAAATTACTAACCCAAAGGTTTGCAGTTCAAACCCAACCAGAATTATAGTGGAAGAAAGCTGGCAATCTTCTTCCAGAAAGACCAAGCCAAGCCAAGAAAACCCTATGGCACTCAGTTTTACTTTGTAACACTTGGACTCACCATGAGTCAAAATCAACTCAATGGCAAAACTTTTGGAGATTATATATATATATATATATATATATATATATATACACACACACACATACATATATATGTATATGTATATGTATATACATACATACATATATCTCCAAAACTAAGCCCACTGCCTTTGATTTGATTCCTACTCATAATGACCTCCATTGGGTTTCCAAGAAGGTAAACCTTTATGGAAGTAGATTGCCCAGTCTTCCTTCTGTGGAGTGGTAGCTGGTGGGTTTGAACTGCCAACCTTCTGGTTAGCAGTCAAATGCCTTAGGCATTATGCCACCAGAATGCCTATGTGTATGTGTGTGTTCAAACCCACTAGCTACTCCTCAGAAGGAAGGTTGGGCAGTCTACTTCCTTAGTGATGTATACTCTTAAGTTACCTGTTTTTCAAAGCAAATATGACTCAATTGGTACTGGAAATTTTTCATCAAATAATCCTTTTCTGTCTTCTTACATTTCCAAATAATCAGAACTTCAGGCATTTTTTAAGGATGCTCTTAAAACTAAATAAATCAATAAGTCCTCCTTATTCTGGTACACAGCTTGTGTAGACCAGGTGGGTAAATGACAAAGTGGAGTATTCTTGGTTAATTTTACCTCTCTCCCCCAGGGCACTGCCTTATACAACTTCCAAGTACCATTTACATTGGACCTATATTCTCCCAAAAAACAAACCAAAGCCATCGCTGTTAAGTCTATTTAATTTCAAAGCAATACTTCTAGAGCAGAGTATAACAGCCAGCCCCACAGGATTTCCAAGGCTGTAGATCATTACAGAAGCAGACAACCACAACTTTCTCCCACAGAGTGCTCGGTGGGTTTGAACCACTGACCTTTTAGTTAGCAGTCAATTGCTTAACCACTGCACCACCAGGGCTCCTTTTATGTTCTCAAGGGAGGACTAAATGACCCGTAAATTACAATGTGAATTGCATCACCTGGGGTTGTGCAAATGGCAGAGCTGTATCCATCAGCAAACTTATTATATCTACAAGAAGGCATGACACTGTTTTTAAGCCAAACACATCAGGATTTAACTCTCTAGTGAGACCCCAAACCAGTGGTGAGAACTTGGGCTGACAATTAAGTATGTGAACCTCAGTTATCTTAGTTGTAAAGTAAATATTACTAATATTGGTAGGTCATTATGAGCATAAACATGCACATAATAACAATAGCAATGGAACAGCTATTATAGAGTATTTGCTCTGTGTCAGCCACTGTAGTAGGCACTTAACATATCTTATTCAATCCTCATAATAAACCTATGAGGTAAATATTCTCTCATTACTCCCATTTTACAGATGAGGAAAAAGGCATAGAGAAAATGAATAATTTACTTGAGGTAACTGGACATGCTGATATTGAAACTCAGACATCTGACCCTAGAATCTCTACTATTGGTCTAGATTCATTGCTGTCGAGCCATTTCCAACTCACAGAGACACTGTAGGACAGAGAAGAACTTTCCATAGAGTTTCTAAGGTTGTAATCTTTATTGAAACAGATTGCCACATCTTTCTCCCATGGAGTCATTGATGGGTTTGAACTGCTAACCTTTTGGTTAGTAGTCAAACATTTGAACAGCTTGCACCACAAGGGTATATATAGATTTATTAGATAGAGGTGAATCCATTTATCTAAATTCTAAACCTGTGTCTTCATCTACCTATAATTGGGTATGTAATTATTACTTAAGGAGCTCTGGTGGCATAGTGCCTAAGGCATCTGACTGCTAACCACAAGGTTGGTGGTTCAAACCCATCAGCCACTCCACAAAAGGAAGCCTGGAGTCTACTTCCATAAAGATTTACCACCCTGGAAACCCAAAGGGGGTCACTATGAGCTGGAATTGACTCAATGGTAGTAAGTTTGTTTTGTTTTGTTCAATTACTACTTAGATTACAAGTCTGTCCTATATAGATGTTTCTCTAGACTTTTTGGCCTGCTGGGCATGAACTCCAAAATAACCGAAATCTGAAACATCTTTGAGAGCTTGGATGCAATAAAGGAGAATTTTTAAAATCCTACCTAGGAGCGATATCCATGGCATTTATCATTATTCCAGGCATACAAAAGCTTGCTGTTGCACTAGCAAGTATCAGGAAGATGATAGTGCTGAGAAAGCTGGAACTCAGGTAAGGCAAGCACATAATGAAGAGGGAAGGGAGGAGGAGTCCTGAGAAGTGAGACAAATAACACAGTCAGGTGCATTCTCACAATGAGGTGAAGGGTCCCCTAAGTGCTTGAATATTCTGGCTGGTTCTTACCTAGTGAGGTGAAGAGTTTCCGAATGGAAATTGTGCTGAGAATATTCCTGGACAAAAGGAAGTCTGCCATCTTACCTGCTAGGATAGCACAGATCCAGCCAAACAAACAGGAGAGAGCAGACAGTACCCCATTCTGAGAAGGAAACATTGTTCTGAGAGTGAGTATGAAGGAAAGAGTAGGGCTGATACACAGCATAATCCTTGCCCTGAAATTCAGTGTCTAAACTTTGTACTGCTTTATGGGAATCCATCAACATTCCAACCAATCCCAGAGTTACAGCTAGAGCCATATTACACAAAAGAAAAAGGAAAATAGTTTAGAAGTCAGTAAGAGTTGTCACAATCAGTATAATTTTCTACTTAAGCATGGGACCTGAGAGCAGTGAATACGAGGGGGAGTGCTCCACTGAGAATGAGAAGGGCTGGAAAATGATAGAGATAATACTGATAACAATTACAAAAGTATGTGTGCTTATTCTGAGCCAGCCACTCCCGACTCTTGTGTCAACTCCATAGTTTCATGAAAGATGAAACCCAGCAAGAGAGTTTAAATGGCCTCATTGTTAGACACGCATTACAGAATGCCCCAAGGTGGCAAGTTCAGACTCCATTTCTAAAGGAGTCTTCTCTGTTATCCATGGTACCAAACAAAAGGAGGTTACAGGCATCAACAAGCAATGGCATTGTGATTATGAGATGTCAGACCTTTCAGAGCAAGACCTGAGTTAGGGACTCACAATCCAATACTCGTTTCCTTACCCCAGGGGAGAAGATTGCTAAAAGCTGGGAAAGGTAGCAGGGCCCAGCCAAGTGACTTTCAGGGAAGAACACCAGCCCTCACCAGGGAAGGTGATGTTGAGCATTAAGCAATACACAAGGGCAATCTATAGTGAGTGGGACGTAGTGAATTTGTGGGAACATGAGCGTGTGTGTATTGCTGCAGAAGTGCCAGACACTGAATCTGTTATGTGAACAGTATTCACATAACTGGAAACGGTGAGTCTACAGGTAAAGAACATCAGCTGAACAGTGCAGGAGCAGGCAAGTACTGAGACTAGGGTCCAGAGAGACAGAAAAATGAGCACAGAATCCTTCATAAAATTAAAAGGAAAACAGAGAGTGGACTTACCTCTCTTATATTAACATGAAACGTGTAATCGATATACATTGGCGTGTATAGAGCCATGACGTTATTTGTCCAGAAACTAGCAAAATAACCAAGACAAATGGCCAAGAGTGGAAGAGACTTAAGCATAGACTTGATGGGTAGAGATTGTTGACTTGAGCTGAACTGGAAAAGAACCCATTAGTCGTTAGCATATTGGACCAAGCTGAAATACATCTCATTCAGAACATTATCTGAGAGGTGTTGAGGTGGATCATCCGTGTTCTACCTGCTGGGTGATGGAGGATGTGATGAAATTCTTCTCACTGATGCTTATACATGGGTGGTCCTTTGGGTCATCATAAACCAGAATGAACCAGAGAAGACTTAAGACACAGCCACAAGCACCTATCAAAGATGGACTGGTTAGAATTGGAATTGTTTCTGTCTATGGTGGGACTCTTTCCTAAATTGGTATTTTCCAGAGTATTAGTTTGAGAATCTGGATCTTCCTTTTCTTTTTTGAAACTTTGTAGCAAGGCTTACATTGTTTATAGTTCCCCCAGTACCCAAAGGTGCCCTCTACACCCCAGAATGAATTTTATAAGAAAGATGGTAAGTTCTCCAGCTGCCCTTGATCTCCTAGTGTCTGCATCTTTCCATGAATAACATCTTGGCCTTTCTACCCTTCAGTCCTAGTTTTTATAGGCATAGTGCCTAAGGCATTTGACTGCTAACCAGAAGGCTGGTGGTTCAAACCCACCAGCCACTCCTCAGAAGGAAGATTGGGCAATCTACTTCTGTAGTGATGCTGCCTTGGAAACCCAAGGAGGGGTCACTATGAGTCAGATCCGACTTGATGGCAGTGAGAATAAAGTGTTCAACCACAGCAGCCATAGGAATGTGGTATGGCTGAACCTACACTGGGCTTGACAATCATCCAGTTTTGTGAGCTTGGCCTCAGCCATGTTCCTGAGATAGAGCCTAGTTTTTATATATTCTATTTCTGTAAGAGTTTGCCAAATTAGTTCTTGTTTTTGAGTTTCCTATACTAATTTCTAGGGAGGTCTGGTGGTGTAGTGCCCAAGGCATTTGACTTCTAATGAGAAGGCTGGCAGTTCAAGCCCACCAGCCACTCCTCAGAAGAAAGACTGGACAATCTACTTCCATAGCGATACCACCTAGGAAAACCAAGGAGGAGTCATATGAGTCAGATCCGACTCTACAGCAGTGAGTTTTGTTTTGGGTTTGGTATACTAATTACCTGATCATAGGGAATCCTCTGTTGGGACAGGGAGTATGTAGTACTCACCAGTCAGTTTTCTAGAAATGCAATCATTCACTTGACAAGTATTGATTAAATACCTGTTATGTACCATGCCACCACCCATCTGTCAGTTTGTCATAATGTGTGGCTTTCATGTTGCTATGATGTTAAGATGAACCTGACCCAAGCCATGGTCTATCCCATTACTTCATATATATGTAAAAGCTGGACAATAAAACGAGGAAGACTGAAGAAGAATTGACTCATTTGAATTGTAGTGTTGGCAAAGAATATTGGATATACCAAGGACTGCCAGAAGAAATCTGTCCTGGAGGAAATTAAGCAAGAATGGTCCTTTGGAACAGGGATGGTGAGAGTTGGTCTCACTTACTCTGGACACATTAACAGGGGAGACAAATCGCTGAAGGACATCATGTTTGGTAAATTAGAGGCTTAGTGGAAAAGAAACCCTTAGTGAGATGGATTGATGCAGTGGCTGCCACAATGGACTTAAACATAGCAACTATTGTGAGGATGATACAAGACCAGGCAATGTCTTGTTGTATTATACCTAAGGTTGCTATTAATCTGAGCAGAATTCTTGGTACTTAATAACAACAACAACAACATGATGCTAGACTTTACACCACAGACATTTTAAAAACCATCACTTTAGTGGACAGGTTTCACCAGAGCTTCTAGACCAAGGTAGAGTAGGAAGGCAAGCCTGGCTCTTTACTTCCAAAAATTAATTAGTGAAAATCCTATGGAACACAAAAAAATGTTATCTAATCTAATATTGAAAGATGACCCTGAAGGTTGGAATGCACTGTACAATAACAATAGTCACAACAATGAACTCAAACATGTCAATGATCATGAAAATAGCACAGGGCCAGGCCTAGTTTCGTGTTGTGCAAGGGATCAGCATAAGTCAAAGCTGACTCCACAGCTACTAAGAACAAATGTGTGATACACTATTCTAGGTACTGGTGATATAGCAGTGAATAAAATAGACAAACACCCCAGCCTTCATAAGGCTTTGTTTCTAGTGAAAGAGAAGAAGACAGTGAAAAATTTGTAAGTAAAATGAACTGAATGAAGTTGGTTACAAAGAGTAGGAAGAAGGTCACATGGAAGTGAAGAAGGCGTGCTAGGCTCAGAGAAGGTTGAAATAAAGATGCAGACAGCTGGAACTAATAAACTCCATGCAGAGGGGCACTAAGTGCCAAGGCTCTAAGTCAGGAAACCAGCATGACTGGGTGGAAAGGGGAAGGGAAAAAAAAAAACAACTCACTGCCCTCAAGTCAGATCCAACTCATACTGTCAAGTCAGATCTGATTCATAGCAACCCCTCCTTGGGTTTCAGAGGTGGTACTCTACAAAAAGGAGCTCTGGTGGTGTAGTGCCTAAGGCACTTGACTGCTAATCAGAAGGCTGGCGGTTCAAACCCACCAGCCACTCCTTGGAAGGAAGGTTGGGCAATCTACTACCATAGTGATACCGCCTTGGAAACCCAAGGAGGGGTCGCTGTGAGTCAGTTCTGACTCAAAGGCACATAACAACAACAATCTCTACAAAAGTGGATTGCTCAATGTTCCTTCTGAGGAGTAGCTGGTGGGTTTGACCTTTGAACCACCAGCCTTCTGGTTAGCAGTCAAATACCTTAGGCAGTATGCTATCAGAGCTCCTAGAGAGGAGGATGGAAATGGATGAGAATTAAAGATAATAGGGCCAAATCATATGGAAAGTTGCAGCCCATTGTAAGATCAAAGGATTTTATAGCAATATTAGATGTGATTCACTTTAAACTTTAACTACCTTAAGGGAGCTCTGGTAGCATAGTGCCTAAGGCACTTGACTGCTAACCAGAAGGCTGGCAGTTCATACCCACCAGCCACTCCTCGGAAGGAAGATGGAGCAATCTACTTCCGTAGTGATACTGCCTCAGAAACCCAAGGAGAGGTAGCTGTGAGTCAGGTCCGACTCGAGGGCACATAACAATAACAACAACAGGGCAAAATAGAACTGCTCTATAGAGTTTCCAAAGCTATAATCATTACAGAAGCACACTGCCACGTTTTCTTCCATAGAGTGGCCAGTGGGTTTACAGGGCAAATCTTTTGGTTAAGCAGTCAAGCATTTAACCACTGCACCACCATGGCTCTTTTCAGAAGATGATAATAGCTTCCGTATCACAAGCACAGGTTATTGCACTATCCCTGTGATTCTGCCACATCTCTAATCTACCTTTTTAATTAATTACTTTATCATTAAAACCTTCTGAGTTTACCCGAGAATGGCTTTGGGCAAGTTACTTAAGTTTCTTCATCTGACATGTGTGTATGATAGCAGCCATCAATAATTCTTGACCCATAAATCTGAAATGAAGATCTGAAAGCCAAAATTGATTAACTCTTTCAGAAACCTCAATTTTTTATAATATTTTATTTATTTCATTTCATGAGCATGTCATATTTCAGTGCAAAAAAATTCATGTGTTTGATTATGGGGTGCTCCAAACCTTGCTTGGTACATAATGTATAAATATTGGTGTTGCTGTTGTTAGTTGCAATCAAATACACTCCAACTCATGACAACCCCATATGTGCAGAGTAGAACTTCTCCATAGGGTCTTCAAGGCTGTGCCTTTTGGCAACACTTCTCCAGGCCTGTATCCCAAGGCTCTTCTTGGTGGGATTGAACAGCTAACCTACTCGCCATATTATTTTTCTGAAATCTGAAAAGGTATCTGTGTTGACCATCCCCTGCTCCAAAAGTTTCACGTAAGGAGTTGTGGATCTGTTACACCTACTTTATAGAATTCCGAGGGCTATGCACAATCATGCATATATAGTTCTGAGCACAACGCTTGGTTTATAATAATAATTTTTAAAAAAAAACCTCACTATCATTGAGTCAGATCTGATTCATAGAGACCCCTCCTTGGCTTTCCAAGGCAGTATCTCTATGGAAGTTGATCGCCCAACCTTCCTTCCTAGGAGTGGCTGGTGGGTTTGAACTGCCAGCCTTCTGGTTAGCAGTCAAATGCCTTAGGCACTAAGCCACGAGAGCTCCTTGTCTTATGATAAGAATTTAATAAATGTTGGCTTATAATAAGAACTTAATAAATGTTGACTTCTCTCTCTTTCAATGGGATTCATGTTTTTCAACATTGTTAACTTTATGAGTTTGAGTGGTTTTATTTACTTTATATAAAGTATTAGGTTTTTTATCTCTTTTTTTAATTTTTGCTTCTTAAATTCTGAATAATAACTGAGCTTTTATAGAAAGTGACTCACCAAGAATATAGAAGACAACGGGCCAGCCCATGGACTGACAGATGAATCCAGTCACAAGCAGGACAATGAAAGATCCCAGAATAAAGCCTAATAAAAAAGGCACAAAGGACACCCCTGATTAATCCAGGCATCTGAAAGTAGAGATAACATAGCCTTATGGTAGCAATGAACAATTTCCTATAAAATAAATTCATACCGCGTAACACTGAGAACAAAAGACTGAAGTATTTGCTTTTCTCTCTTTTTCTCTGCTATTTCAGATAAGAAACTTACTCCATTCTAGACAGTTTCATCATCTTTAAAGTAAGAATGCTGAAATGGAATATTTCCAAAGCTCTTGACAGTTCAGACCACAAATGTTTCTGACAGCTGTAGGAAAGAACATGATCTATTGAGGTGAAAATGTGATTCAGCCATTTTAGACCTGAAATCTTTACCTGATTGACTTATAGAAGTAAGTAGGCCTCGTTCCTTAGGGGGAGCCCATTTGACCCATATTGCATGCTGTGCTGTTCCTGCCATCCCCTGAAATGAGAGACATGAGGCATTTGGTCTCTGATATTTTTCATCAATTTAAAGTCTCTTCAGTTTTTGCGTTATCTGAATACCTGAGCTATGCCTTGGACTACTCGGCACACAATGATCGAAGTTTCTCCAAGTTCAGCTGCCAGTGGGAGGAGCAGGCTCAACAGAGAGCTGAAGAACAATGCACAGGCCACTATTTTCTTTACAGAATATATTCCAGACAAGTATCCACTAGGAATTTGGATTAAGGTTGTACCATAGATGATGGAACTGAGGATGATTCCCTGGATTTCTGGGCTCCAATTATACACAGGGTTCTAAAACAAAAGAGGCACATCTAACTGCTCAGCATACTGGAGATTTACTGTGATATTCAAGGATGAGGGGAAACTGGTCTTCTTGTTCATCCCGTGTAAAGTTAAAGTAGCTCCCCTCTACTCAATATTCTTTATTATAAGGTCTTTTTCATTCCTTTATAACACATTTGTGCATGTGCTTACAGTTTATAATTAAGCCCTGGTGGTGTAGTGTCTCAGGCATTTGACTGCTAAACAGAAGGCTGGCGGTTCAAACCCCCCAGGCACTCCTCGGAAGGAAGGTTGGGCAATCCACTTTTGTAGTGATATCACCTCGGAAACCCAAGGAGGGGTAGCTATGAGTGGAGTCCGACTTCACAGCACATTACAACAACAACAACAAACCTCAGCTATTACAAAATCCTTGTGGCTGAGAGTGCCTTCTGTACCTCATATGCATGTCACAGTGTAAACATTGAATATGTGTTGCTTGGATGTTGGTAAACTACATGTAAAATGCATGTAGCTCTAAAAACCTCAGTTGGCATTTCCCTATTCAACACATTAACTAATAGTCATTAGACAAAGCATCTCATATATAAAGTATTCTATATAAGCCTAATGAATATATACTTATAAATATGCTTATAAATTTATATGAGTCATACAAATGATTAAGAGGTAGATGATACACCAATAGGTAAAAATGGATTAAGGATATCAAGAAATAATTTATGGGAGAAAAACTAAAGTAACCAATAAACATGGGTCATAGAGATACGAAAGTGCGCAATTTCATTAATAATAAAGGAACACATATTTTAAAATTACGGTAGAATTTCAAATTATCAGATTAGAAAACAGTTTAGTTTGAAATACCCTCATGCTATACCTTTATACTTAAATCTATACTCCTCCTCCATCCCTAAGCCCTGGCAATCACTAACCTATTCTTTATCTGGATAATTTTGTTATCTTATGAATGGTATGTAAATAAAATAATATGTAAACTTTTGTTATTGTCTTTTTTCTTTTTTTCACTCAGCATAATTTCCCTGAAATACACCCAAGTTGTTGTATGAATCAGCAATTTTTTCCTGTTTATTGCTGAGTAATACTCCAATGGTTTGGATGTACAATCATTTGATGATTTGTCTAGCCATTCACCTACTGAGAGGTATTTTGTTTCCAATTTTTAGCCATTACAAATGAAACAACTCTGATCATTCATGTACAAGTTTCTGTGCAAACTTAAGTTTCATTTCTCTGAGATAAATGCCCAGGAGTACAATGACAGAGTCTTGTGCTAAAGGTATGTTTAGTCGTATAGAAGACTGACTAGCTGTTCCCAAGTGGCTACATCATTGTACATTCTCACCAGCAATGCATGAATGAGAGAAGTATACTATATTCTGGGCAGTGTTAGGTATTATCACTTTGTTTCATTGTTGTTTTTAGGCTTTTCTTGTAGGTTTATAATGCTATCTCATTGTGTTTTTAATTTGCATTTCTCTAATAGCTCTGGTAGCATAGTGGCTAAAGCACTTGACTACTAACCAGAAGGCTGGCGGTTCAAACCCACCAGCCACTCCTCAGAAGGAAGGTTGGGCAATCCTACCTCCGTAGTGATACTGCCTCGGAAACCCCAGGAGGGGTCGCTATGAGTCGGGGCCGACTTGACGGACATAACAACAACAACAACAATAGCTAATGAGGTTGAATACATTTTCATGTGCTAATCTGCCATCTGTGTGTCTTTATCAATGAAATGTCTGCCATGTCTTTTGCCCATTTCAAATATAAAAAGGGTGAAAATAGGAAACTAAGTTTGTATTTGACTATATATTTACAAAGGAACGCATGGAAGAGAATAGTGAAAAAATATTCCTCCCACCCTTCTGTTTTTTCTACAAAACAAAAAACCACTCACTGCTGTTCAGTCGATTCAACTCACAGTGACCCCTCCTTGGGTTTCTGAGGGAGTATCTCTATGGAAGTAGATTGCCCAATCAATCTTCTTTCCAAGGAGTGGGTGGTGGGTTGAACTACCAGCCTTCTGGTTAGCAGTCAAATGCCTAGGCACTACACCACCAGAGACTCTAGTACTTACATTTTCTGAAGGTAACAACTCATTAACTTCCAGAGATAAAAATTAACAAAACATATAAACACGTTACCTATTCAAAACTTAAATAAAAAACTAGAATGTATCTTCACCTTCCACTTCTGTTTTAAAATGCTTTCCCCTATTTCTCTTGTCCAGACTTGTTGATTCTAAAGGAACTGTGCCTCTTACGTTTTGTTCTTCTTTGCATAAAAGAGAGTTCACACACACACACAAAGACCTTTACAAACATTGAGGCATATTTTAATTATGGAACATGTCTATCTCCATTACCTTTGCCTAGGTAGATCAATGCTTAAGCTTCTTTTTTCTGTTTATTATTATCTTCTATCAAATATGATTACATTCAATCTCTGCACAAAGTAGCGAGACAGGATTTTAACCTCATGGTTCTCGGTAATGTTTTTGATATACCTTTACGTGATCCAGGAGCTCGTCTGCGGAGGTGTTGTGCAACCCATGTAGATACGTGGTGTTCACCATGGCCACCATTGTGAGGCTCAGACATGTGCGTTGTGCCATTATTACAACATTACAGGAATGTGTGAGAAAAGATAATCCATAGCGAAAAGAACAAAAACCTGGGACTGGGAAGTAGAAGAGAAAGTCTCAGTTGATAACACAACAGAGGTCAAAACAAACTTTAACATAAGGAAGTATTGCGTAGTGATTGTAGTGATACTGCCTCGGAAATCCAAGGAGAGGTCGCTATGAGTCAGATACGACTCCAAGGCAGTGGTTGCGTTTTGTTATTATTGTTGTTGTTGTTATGTGCCGTGAGTCTGACCGACTCATAGCGACCCGTCCTTGGGTTGCGGAGGCAGTATTACTACGGAAGTAGATTGCCCAACCTTCCTTCCGAGGAGTGGCTGGTGGGTTTGAACCGCCAGGCTTCTGGTTAGCAGTCAAGTGTCTTAGGCACTACGCTACCTGAGCTCCTGGTTGCATTTTAGATATGGTTTAAAATTTTTTGTAGTTAATGACTTTTGTGAAAGTAAGATACAATAGGAAGATGTGTGACTGATTTTAGTCCCTAAAATATAATCCCAACTAGAATGCCACTAATAAATTAAGCCAGTCCTCCAAGCAGCCTGAGTCTTGTCAGTTTTACAGAGACCTCTTACAAATACCCTGAGTTACTTTTGGGTGGAAGTCCCCTTACTAACAACAAAGATACCTTCTCTCAAGGAAATTTCTCCACTCTCCAAATTTGTTATTTAAGAAACTCAGGTGTACACACTGGAAAAAAAAAAATGCTTTTAAAAAATATAATCTACTTATTCAGTTAACATAAACTAGAGCAATCGGTATGATGCTGGTGTAAGGCCAAACACAGTTTGAAAGAAAATAAGGAGTCTAGAAACAGATGCACATATATGGTCAAATGCTTTTAAATAAACAGCAATGCAATTCAACCGGAGAAAGTAAAGTCTTCAAGACATGAAAAGGGGACACTAAGCATAGGGGGGGAGCTCTGGTAGCATAGTGGCTAAGGCTCTTGACTGCTAACCAGATAACAACAACAACAACAAGCGTAGGGGACATTGAGCTTCTGCTAAGGGTAATGGGAAAATTTGAGAACAGATAATAGTAATGGTTGAACAACATGATGAACATAATTAATATGACTGAACTATACATGTGACACTTTTTAAAATGGCAAATGTTTTGTTACATATATATATTGCACAATAAAAACAAACAAAAGTATACTCACAGCCGTCAAGTCGTTTCTGACTCATAGGGACCCCTCCTTGGGTTTCTGAAGCAATGTCTCTATGGAAGTAGATTGCCCTATCATCCTTCCGAGGAGTGGCTGGTGGGTTTGAACCGCCAGCCTTCTGATTAGCAGTCAGATGCATTAGGCACTATGCCACCAGGGTTCCCATAAACAAAAGTATATGTCTGTAAAAAGCAACTTGCCTGAAATGTTTATAGTAGCTTTATTCAAAATGGCAGAATGCATGGAATGGATGAACAGATTGTGGAATGTAATTAAAATGGATATTACCCAGAAATAAAAGAATAAAACTGCAATATACTAGACAACCTGGATGAGTCCCAACAAAATGTATGTTCAGCTCAAAAGCTAGACATGAAAGAGTAAATCTATATGAATCCATCTTTATGAAATTCAAAAACAGGCAAAATGAATCTATGTGGCTAGATACCAGAACAGCTGTTTTCTTTGGGGGAAGAGCGGGTAGATTGGAAACGGGCATGATGGAACTTTTTCAGTGATATAATGCTCTATGAAAGTCTCTGGGTGGTACAAATGATTTATGCTCAACTACTAACCTACTACATTTAACTGCTAACCAGAAGGCTGGAGGTTCAAACCCACTAGCCACTCCTCAGAAGGAAGGTTAGGCAAATATCACCTTGAAAACCCAAGGAGGGGTCACTATGAGTCCAATCGATTTGATGCCAGTGAGTTTGTTTTTTATGTTTTTTTCCCAGTGGCATGTTGGAAGAAAGACCTGATGATCTGTTTCCATAACAATTACAGCCAAGAAAACCCTGTGGAGCAATTGTCCTCTGTAAGACATGCAATCGCCAAGAGCTGGAATCAACAGTCGATTTTTGGTTAGGGTGTTCTTTGAGTCGTGCTTACACAGGTGTATAAGTTGATCAAAACTCATCAAAAAGTACATCTAAGATCCATGTATTTTATTGTGTGTAATTATACCTCAACAAAAATTAAAAATACGTTGAGTAACTATGATCAAATTGCCATAAATCCCAAGGTTTCCAGGGACATTTGTTGTCAAGGAGACTACAAAGAAGAGATGAGCTACATTGTTACTACCCCATGGAGGACAACTCGGCATCTGTTCACTATATTTTGAAATGCTCTGGCTGGTATGGAGAAATGAATTTGACTTTTAAATATTGGTACTATATTCAAACAGCTTGCCAAAGCTTACTATTATTTCTAAAAATACATCTGTTAATTTGGGGAGCTTGCCTATGTAGAAAGAAAAAAAAAAACTAGCTGCTATGGAGTCATTTCTGACTCATAGGCAAGATGTAAATAATGATGATTTTATTTCTTCTCTTCCTATCCTTGTGTTTTTAATTATATTTACTCATTGAATCGGAACCACCCCAACACTACTTATTGCTTGGAGAATTCCTGGTATTCCACCATTCTTCTTGATTGTATACAGAGTGATTCTAATGTTTCTATGTTTTGGATAATGTCTAAGGTATTGTTGTAGATATACTTGACAAAGTGTATTTGCTTTCTATTGCTGTGTAACCAATTATCACAAATTTAGTGACTTAAAACACAACTCCACAAGTCAGAAGTCTAGGCATAGTGTAGCTGGGTTCTCCGCTCCGGTTCTGAAATGTTGAAATCACAGGATTGGCCGGAATTAGTTCTCTTCCGGAGAATCTTGGGAAGAATTCGCCTATAAGCCCAGTCAGGTAGTTGGGAGAAGTCTGTTTTCTGCAGACATAGGACTCAGTCTCCAGTTCCCTGCTGGCTGTCATTCTAGAGCTGCCCTCATCTCCTGAATGTTGTTCAAATTACTGTTCTCCTTCACCTCCAAAGCCAGCAAAGGACAATCTCTCTTACATTAACCCCCTCTTATACGTCAATTTCTTTAACTATTCTGTCTGTAGGAGCCCTGGTGGCATAATGCCTAAGGCATTTAACTGCTAACCAGAAGGCTGGAGGTTCAAACCCACCAGCCATTCCTTGGAAGGAAGACTGAGCAATTTACTTCTGTAGAGATACCACCTTGGAAACCCAAGGAGGGGTCGCTATGAGTCAGAATTGACTAGAGGGCAGTGAGTTTGATTTTTTGTTTCGTTCTGTCTATGACCTCTAGGTAGCATAGTGCCTAAGGCACTTGACTGCTAACCAAAAGGCTGGCGGTTCAAACCCACCAGCCACTCCTCAGAAGCAAGGTTGGGCAATCTACTTTCCTCGGAAATCCAAGGAGGGGTCACTATGAGTCGGGTCCAACTCGACAGCACATAACAACAACAACATGACCTTTAGACCCAAATTTAAAGGATTTGTGTGATTAGATCAAGCCATCTGGATAATTTCCATGTTTTCAGAACAATTGCTTTGGGACCATTATTTTAGCTGCAAAATCCCTTCAAGCAGCACTTCGATCAGGCTGTGGTTGATAGATATTATGGATTGAATTATGTCCCCCTCAAAATATGTGTTGTAAATCCTAACTTCTATGCCTGTGATTAAAATCCCAATCAGGATTGGGTTGTCTTTGTTATGTAATGAAGCAGGATTAGTGTAGGATGTATCTTGAGCCAATCTCTTTTGAGATATAAAAGAGATTAAAGAAGTGAGCAGAGGAGAGATAGGGTAAGATAGATGTCCAGACAAATGGAGATCTTTAAGGAACCAGGAAGTAGTGGTTGAAGACACAAAGACCTTCTTTCAGAGCCGACAGAGAAAGAAAGCTTTCCCCTAGAGCTGATGGTCTGAATGTGGGCTTCTGTGCTCCTAAAGTGTGAGAAAACAAATTTGTTTGTTAAAGCCTCCAATTTGTGTTATTACTTTATAGGTACTACATAACTAAGACAATTGAATAACAGGAATAAGATGTATGCACATGAGGTGCTAGGAATCATGGGGGGACTCTTAGAATTCTGCCTACCACAGTAATTTTTTCTTTTTTTTTTTTTTTTT